AGGTCCCTTTCCTTGGCCTTCCAATGAAGAGGAAGGAGGACAAAAAGGAAAGCAGGAGGGAGATGAGGAGGATATAGGAGAGGTTCCGGTTGTTGGCTTTGACTATGGGAGATTCTCGGAATATAACGAATATTCCTAACACAACACAAGTGGTTAAGGATAAGAATAGGGCAAAGGAAGCTAGAAAGATCCCCAAAGGTTCTTCATAATCCAGGAAGGTGAGGATCTTGTAGAAACATTGATCTCTGGCCTTGTTTGGACGCTGATCTTCTGGACACCTGGTGCAATGCTCTGCATCTGGAAAGAACACAAGGAATGTCAACTTTACTGTAATGCTTTTCATTAACAAAAAGTAATACCAAAGTGGCCCCCACTAAGAGGAAACCTAACTATATTCAATAGAAATCACTGCATATAACCAGGAGTGCATTTATTGGTATTAATGATATTACGGGACAGGAAAACCTGAGGCATCTGGTATGTCTTCAATTGGTGGTAAAAACCCTGGGGAGAGGATTCCACATACTAAGGGAATCACAATGCAAGAGGACCTCACTAATATTTCTGATAGCAATAAAATAATTCTAAGCCATGGTGACCCTTTCCTGAAAGGGTGTCAATGGTAGGATAAGGGTCCCAAGGCCAAAAGTTTCTAATATGACAGACAAAAAGCACCTTGTTGGACTCAACTGTATGATACATCGGTGCCTGATAACCATCCCAGAGTTCATGGTGCCTCTTGTGCCAAGTTTGACTAACCGTCAAAGTACTGTCAAATTCCCACATCCCAGGATTTTCTCCCTCTCTGTGTAGGCTTCCACTTGTCATTCAATGTGTCAATATAGCATGTATGAACACCTAATGGGGAAGATGCCCAGTTGTGTTGTAGCAGTGCGTCAGTTCTAAAACTCCCCTTTAATAAACCCTGGACACCAGAAAGGTCCTTTGTCCTCATCCCCAAGGGCAGGTCTTTCTCCTGGTGTCACCCACCTTCCTGAGTGGCCATCGTTCCTTCCGCACAGGGAACGCAGTCATAGCAGCAGAGCAGCATTCCTTCCTTAACTACCTTGAAGAATCCAGGCTGGCAACTTTCCACACACCTGGAAGTAGGCAGGGGCTGAGCATAAAGGGGCATCAAGGAAAATGTGTTAAGGCTTGATAACAATGATAAGAATGATAACAATGTATTACTTGATTATCTTTAACAAAACTTATTTGCTGCTTGATTGCAGCAAAACCTCTAACAATAATGTTTCCCTGTTTGATCAAAACCCTAGTTCCTTCCTCTTCCCTCCTCCTGCTGTAAAATCCTCAAAGCATAGACCTCCCCTCTTGGACTTGATACAGTGTCATGATCGCTGTGTAAATCAGAGGTAGCTAAACTGTTTTCATTTGAGGGCCATAGTTACCCCAGTGGAACCTTCTGTTGTTTTGGCCAAAGAGTGGGCTTGATTGAGAACCACAACTCTCAAGTACTCAGTCCAATATGTTTTCCCATCAGCTATTTTCTAGTACTCTAAATTATTTTTATATTTCATTGTACGATTCAGTTTTATAAAACATATTTGCACAAACATATTTTATCAAATGGAGGTTTCTCAAAACCTTTTAGTGTCACAGTATAACTGCAGCAGACATACATCACAGTAAAACCATTTCCAGAAAATAATGCTTGTGTTGTTGTTTTTTTAAAAAAGTGGTCCTAGGTGCCTCATAGAATTTGGGGGTGGGGGGTCCAGATATTAGCCACCCTTCATATAAATAAATGATAAAATGGTGAAGCAGTTCCTCTCACCACAACCTGTTTTTGAACTGGAGCTGGGAGAGTATTTTCTAACAATATTTTTTTCATTCACCAAAAGGGTTGGGAGAGGAACTAACTGCAAAAGTTGAGGGATGGTTAAATTTCCTTGAAGGGTTCAAGTTAGGAGGCCATCTCTTCTAGCAAACAAACCTATTGCACACTTTTCTGGAAATTGCTGCATAGAACATGGATTTACAGGAGCATTTCAGGAAATACTGCTAGCACTGATTGTCAGCAAAGCTCAGATGCTGACAGGAGAGAGAGAACAGTTAACAGCGGAAGGCAGGGAGGAGGGGTGGGGAGCAGCTGTAATCTGAGCTCTGAACAAAGGGGAGGGAATAAACAGGGCCAGAGAGACAGGCAGCTGTGTGAGAGCTCCAATAGTGAGCCAGATGTTGGAATGCAGGAAACATTCTCTCTCAAATCTCGTAGGATCTCAAAAGTGGTTTAAATATGACAAGGGAAGGGAAAACCATTGGCCACCTCTTCTACTTACTAAAATAAGCAACCGCCTAGAAATCACCCAGCCAAACAGCTGAATCCTGCATATACACAGTTCCACTGGGACCTACTCTTAAATCTTCAAGAAATGCAGAAGGCACCTGAAGGTAGCCGCACACCGAGCATGGTGACAGTCAGGAGTTCCCAGCTTGATAACACAGTAAGCGTAGGTAATTAAAATTGAAGATTTATTACAAAAACAAACAGATAGCTCTGGATGGCTCTAACACAGCCACCACCATTGTCACTCAAGATGAGCCTTCTGAAGACTCCTTCTGGTGTCTACAGAATATATTGAACCAATGCCTCTTACATCTCTTGTTTTGCTTCCTGTCTAGCAGTCTTCCCATTCACCAACTCCTTGGACTTATTGGGTCAGCTCCAGCCTCTTCCTTTTCTGAGAGAATATCTCTGTGTCTGTTCACGCCTATTTGAGCTTTCTGAGAGCTTTGGCTGAGTTCCAGCCCGCTCTCGGTCGTTCCCCTGGCAACCTTCATTCCAAGGGGTGGGGAAGTCTCCTCTGACTGCTGTTCAGTCTGTGTCCAATCTGACCATCTCTGTTCTGCAGCTGGCTGTAAAGTTCCACTAGGAGCTGGCTCATTCCGGACAGTGACATGATTAGAGCTTATGGGATGGGAAATCCAATAAAATGAAACAAATTATTTCTCCCACCTGGTTGTGCCATTTGGGGCACACAGTGGCATTCTGGTCGATGTTGCACTTCAGGGCCAGGGATCTCTGTCTCTTGATGCTCCCAATCCTCTCTCTAAGGAGGGACTTATTGGGAAACACCACCCAGTTCACAATATCCAAGTCAGCTGCCAGTTCCCCGTTCTCATCCAAATACACTCTGTCCATTGAAGAATTGTAAAATTGGACGTCTCCCAGGTAAGAATGGAGCTAGAATGGCAGAGAAAAGGGCCACATATAGAACAGGGGAAACAACACTGACTATTCAACTCTGAGCATTTCATGCTTGGATCTGCTCTCATTTGGGATTGGCTACAGAGTGTCAGGGACTGGTTGGGACTGGTTGGGCAGTCTGAAGAATTGTAGGAAGCACCAGCCAGAAAACTTCCAAGGGAACCCCCAGGAGAGGAGCCTCAGAGCCAGAGGATTGGTGGTGGGACACTGAGGAGAGCTCAGAGGAAGAAGACTGCAATGGGGGGCTGGATGCTGAAGGGGCAACAGGGTTTAGTGAACAGGGAGAGTCGGTGATGGGGATCAGTTCAGACTCTGAGGCTGAAGCAGAGGAGAAGGGTCAAGAGGCTGCTGGAGAACCCAAGGACCATTTGGGAATGATAGGGACAGAGGTATCTAAATTGTACGAAATTTATTTATGCATGCAGCAACAGCAGCTACTCTCCTAAAAAAGGAAAGAAGCAGAAGGAAGAATGGATACAAAATCTAATGGAATATGCAGAAATGGCAAAAGTTCCCGGAAGAATAAGAAATCATGATAACAAACTTTTTAAAAATGGTTTATTGAATATTTGCAGATAAATCACAAACATCTAAAACCATTGGCAGGATTATTGTAATAACCTGCAGTTTCATAAGAATATATATTTAAAGTAGATAATTAAATGAGCAAATTAAATGAATTTAGATATGTCGAAGATATTAAAAAGTAAGTTTAAAGAACTGCAGAAAGAGGGGGATGGAAGTCAATTAACGTAATTAGCGTAATGAGAAGATGAGTCACCCAGACACTTAATACAGGCTCCATCAACACACACAATCTTTGGACAAAGGATAGAGCTCAGTGGAGCTCAGTAGGTGCCAAAGTATCACCCTAAACAGGAGAGAAGAAGGCTTTGGGAGAGAGAGCCTGTGCAATGCCATCTGCAATGAGGGGCTGGATGCTGAAGGGGCAACAGGGTTTAGTGAACAGGGGGAGTCAGTGACGGGGAACAGTTCAGACTCTGAGGCTGAAGCAGAGGAGAAGGGTGAAGAGGCTGCTGGAGAATCCAAGGACTCATTCTCTCCTGCTGTAACAGGCTCCCCTCCTCCCTGGTGTCCAAGAACATGTACGATAATGAAAAGGGCAGAACAGAGACCGGAGGTGCCTTTGAAAGGGCAGAAGGCAGGTCCCTTCATTTCTGGCAACTGCCCTATAGGGGCCAGACTGATTGGGAGGTGTTGCTGAGTTGTATGCCATTTTCTTGAATAAACTTCCTGCCTCTGCATATTAATGGAATCAGAATATAAATAAGCCAGAAATATGACAGATGTCCACATGTATTAAACTCTTAGCATAATGAGAAGATGAGTCACTCAGACACTTAATACAAGCTCCAGCAACACGCACAATCCTTTGGAGAAAGGGTAGAGCTTAGTGGAGCTCAGAAGATGCCAACTTACACCCTAAACAGGAGGGAGAGTCAGTGCAGTGCCATCTTCCCTGCCCAAGGGAATTCTTATGGAGGAGGTGGGGGTCGAATGGGCCACTTCAAGGCAAAGAAGAGGTTAGGCTAGTGGTGGGAACTGTTCCCAGAGAGACTATCGTCTTAGAGGAGATAAATGGATCAAATTCAGGGCACTTCACAAAGGGGTTTGCAAAATTTCACCTCCCCACTACATTCCCCAAGTTCTCAGACAATCTCCAAGACAGCCATTCAGGAATTGTAGAATTGATTGTGATGTTTGGCTGAGATGTATGAAATGGGAAAGGAAATACCTGCCATGGCTGTAACCTTTGAAGTTCCAGACTGTCCTTCAACCTCCTCTTTGCTCTAGACAAATACACAGCATTTAAGGAACGGGCCACAGCTTGGACACTGTTGTAAATCCTGTAGCTGTTTAGAGATAAGAGTCTTTCCAGATGGGCTTGGGGCAGCATTTCCAGTTCCTCTCTTTCTTGGCATCTTGCCCAGCTTTTCACTGACAATGTATGCAATATATAGGAACAAGTAAAAGCTTCCTCCCAAAACTGCTGAAGTGCAAAGAAAAAGGCATCAATATCATCATATTTGGCCCATTTATTCAGCCCAATAGAGAAAGAAAGAATGCTGTGGAAATGTTTGAAATCTAAACCACTGTTGATTAACTCAATTAAGTCTACACTCAAATCCCACATAGATGTTGTGATCAAGACTTTCCCCACAGTGGGTTTGACCAGCTTGTCAAATATTATTTCAGCAACTTGCATTCCCTTCCAGAAATAAGTAGATTCTACATAATATAAGAATACTTGGACTTGTCGCCACTTTTCTGATGGAGGAACTTTGACCGTCACACGGTTTGTATTGATTTGTGGAATGCTTAGTGAGATAGCAACACAAATGCCACTCTCTACAAACATAGGTGTCAATGTCTTCATGAACGTCTCTCCATTGTCAGTGTCTGGAGCAATGAGACCAATGAACGTCCATCTGAAGTGATGGAGCAGCTTGACAATTGGTGGGTAAACAGCCTCTTCTTTGGGGACCATCCGATATAAAAAAGGGAACTGCCTCTTGTCATTCAGAGCATGTGAGCCAAAGGCATAGTTGACCTGGAAAGAAAAGATCGACTGTTGGCTTGCATTGTTTGGGATCAAAGACGAAATAATTCATACCCCAAACAACATATATTTGCTTTGTAAAAACACGTGTGTTGTTGGTTTTTTGCCCAGACTTTTCTTGACATATAAGACTGGATTCCATTTTTATTTTTATGAATCCCACAGTTCCTGTTTTCATTTTAAAAAATACGCCTTTATCCTTTTATTTTAATGCTTTATACTGTAGATTTGTTTCAACAATTTTGTTACTGTTTTAGGTTGTGCACTACTAAAAGGTTTTCTTAATAATTGAGTGGGTTATGAATGTTTTCAATTAATAAACAAATTTCACGGTTTCACTCAGAGGAAACTTCCCGCTTTATCCAATTTTTAGTGGTATGGTAACTAGTATGCGGGAAGTTCCCTTCCTTCTCATTTTATATGCACAGGCATACAAACACACAAACACAGGAATCAGCATTTGACACAAATGGAAGGGAGAAAGGACAGGTAATATCAACAAGAGCACAGCAATTCATCTGACCATTCCTTATCTCCTTTCTTCAGTGCCTTGACATCCAATGTCTTCCTCATTCTGAGCTGACAATGTGCCAAATTTTCATGCCTGAGAAGCTCAGCCAGATAATCCCTCCATCTCCATTCTTACCTGTGGCATTTTATAGATGCTCAACATGCTTGAAATCTGGATGGAGTTCTCAGAGTCAGAGTCAGCCCCTTCAAGAACAGCAATCAAGTTATTCTGTCCTCCGCAGTTGTAGTTTGGAACATTCGCCTGTCTAGAAGAGACCAGGTCTACCAAAGCTTCATACGTCACCCTTCCATGAAAAAAGGTCTCATAGTTATTGTAGCCCAGAGTGATGTTGGGCAAGACCCTGGGATTCTGGTTAATCTCTTGAATGGCAAAGAAGAAGGACAGGGGCAGCCAGTACCTTGTTCCTCCTTTGCTGAAAAAAATGTAAATATCACATCCTATCCTCCAGCATTCGGTGACAAGCTTCTAAGGATAATATAAAATCCTGGATTCAATTTCTAGAATTTAATCACCCTAACACTGATCCAAATTCGGACGTTTGACAGCAAATTCCCAATTAATGATGCATGAGTGTTGGGAAAGCCTTGTTCAGTCAATACTCATTATCCTATGGAAAACAAAACTAAAGCAGAATGAATATCTCATGATGGATTAGACATGCATAGACTTTCAAAGAACAATAGGAGTTTAAAGGTTTTTAAAGACTCATTAAATGACACAGAACATCTATTGCTGTCTCTCCTCCGCCTTCCCCCAGATCCCTTCCAAGCCTGTTATATTTATAATTAATTTTATTGATTTGTTTTAAAAAAGAAGTACAAACATTTTTAAAAAAAGAAAATGAAGAATTAAAAATTTAAATACAAAAGCATCACAGCCTGGAAGGCCCAAAGTACACAGATACACCAAGCTCCAAAATGATGATAAGTAAAAATCAATATTGAATGGAGCAGCAGTAACCCCATCCCCATAAAATGACTTACTGCTTAAAGCTGGTAGAGGGAGACTCAGTGAAGTGATGTGGATTAAATATAGCAAATCTAGCAGAGATGACTCCACTAATGAGGTGGTCTCCTGGCCTGTAATAAATGAATGGCTCTATCCAATCTCTCTCCAAAGTCAAGGGGCATTTTGCCTTCACTCCACAGTCTGCATGAGGCAGGAAGATCAGGAGAAGCAGTACCATTCTTTGCCTGCTTGGAACACCTTCCTTGTCTGTGACTGCTCCTCTGAACTAGAAGATAATTAGATAATGTGGATGGAATCCAACCAAGGCTTGATATCTAGAAGGGATAGAAGTCAGCCTTGCACTCTTGTATTGCAACTCACCTCTCCTAAATCTGAACCCCAATTCTGAGTGGTACAGAAGGCCTTTATGTACCAATCCATCCCTGCTCTGATGAAATATGTTAATAACTTCATGTTGTTGTCAGTTCTGATATCTCCTTGATTGGACTCAAAGGTGATCTTTGGACAAATCTCCGGAGCTTTGTTGAAAAGGTGATGAAAGAAAAACCCCTCTGTGATTTTGATAATTACAACGGGAAGAAGCACAGACTCTGAAATGTCCTGAATTATTTACGTGGCTTCATGCGCAGGTGCAGGCTGGAGAAAAACATGTTTGCAAAAACTCCCACATGTGTCTTCAAACTCTGAGAGGCATAACAGAATGGGCAACTAAAAAGTCTAACTTTGGTGAAAGAAGCTCATTCTACACCCTCCAACATTCCTCTGATGTAAATAGGGAGGCACATCTTTTGGTGCTGTGCTCTCGCGGGAGCCTGCTGACTTGCGCGAGATTGTGGCACCACTGCAAGCTTGAGCAGGGTCATGTCTGGGATATGGAAGGCTGAAGGTTTAGAAGGGTCGTGCTTCTGTATCACAAGGGCTGACAGGGAAGTGCCGGGCCATTGCAGGTCAAGAAGAGGCTGGGGAGGCAGCGAGGTCATCCTGGCTTGACTACTTCAACTCAAGAAGTTGCAGGAAACTTAGATCCAGCCCCACCTTTCCCCTCTAGCTTCTCACTCTGGAGCCCTTCCCAACAGACGGAGACTGCGACATGGGGATGAGCTCCTCCCCTGGGTCTGTCTGTCAACATGTGGGACTCTTCTAGATCGAGGTGTGAGAGGAGGAGAGCCAGCAGGACTGACACTGTTCTGCTGTGGGATGGCAGGTGTACCCCCCGATTCCTCACTGTCTGTGTCTCTGCTCACATTGAGACACTCAGCCTCCAGCCTTGTCCTGGAAGGGCCTCCACCTTCTGACACCCCCCTTGATTCCAGCACCTCCCAGCTCAGCCCTTCCCCCTTGTCCCACCACCAGGACCCAGGGGTTCAGTCCTCATCTTCCCTGTCTTCCTTGAGGGGCTCTTGGATGGGAGGCTCCCCCGCTCCTCCTCATCCAGCCAGGCCGTGATACTTGAATATGGACCATGTTGAGACACAGGTCAACTGAGGTGTCCCACCCCCAGCCACTGCAGGAAGCTCTATGGTCCGCAGGCCCCACACTTGGCTTCTGGAAGGAGACAAAGGTCTTGAGGGCTGCATGCAGCCCTTGGACTGTGCATTGGAGCACCCCAACTTAGAGGAACTAGACAAGCATGTCTGATTTCACCCTTGCTTTTTCATATTTGCTTCTGCTATTAGACAACATAGGGAGATCTATGGAGTAGTCCACAATTCAGTTGAACATAAATTGAATTCATACACAGATGATATTCTTTTGATTGTTTCTAAACCTCATTTTACACTTCCCATGTTTATGCTGATAGATTTTTTGCTTAAATATCACAATACACTGTTAACTGGTGCAAACTGCAAAATTTACTTAAGGAATAAATTTTACACAATTACGCAAGAACATTAATAATACATCGTAAACAGTTGATAAAGTCACAGTCCGGTATATCTTTTTAAGTTAGCCGATATTTAAAGCTTCTTGAGGACATTTTCAGCCTGTTATGATTTTTTATATTATTTTGTAGCCCTTAGCAACTATTGTCCCTGGGTGCTGTTTAATGGGCAAATAGGGAGCCCAGTGAACTTTTCTTTCCAATCTTTTTTAAAAGCCAAAGAATAATGATGTAAACTTGAATCCCTAATTGAAGGACAATTATTCAGTGTATGAGCCGCTGTAACCCCATGTTCTGAACAAGACCCCTCCCCCTATGTCTTCAGAGGTTTAATCTTCATCTTGATAATGATGGACGAGTGTCTTTCCAGAACTTCTGAGGCCTGCCTATTAATCTCTCATTGACCCTAGGAGAGAAATTCTTGGCAGTCAGATATTCTGACCACCTTTTATCACCAAATAATTATCCATGCTGGCAGATGAGCAAGCAATGGACCTTTCCAGTTTGCCATGCTCCACTGGGAGTCCAAATGAGCATCTTTTTTGATCCCCTTGCAGGAGGGTGTCACAGATAGTGTGACCTTGTCCCCACCCTCCACAATCTAGGTCTCCCCACCACCAGTTATCTATGGATTAAATGTGTCTGTGTGTGTTTATTTTAGCAGTTCTGCCCTGCCTCTTATATGCCAGAGGGCCAGCTGGAGCTAATATTGGGTGGATTTACTTCCATAATGACAAGTTCTCCCATATCTAAAGAAGCCAGGAGACAGAGCATCAGCTACAGAGAATCAGAGATAGCCCAGATGAAAGATGGAGAATGTCTCCACTTATCATGGTAGTGGAAAAGCAGCAGCAGCAACCGCAACTCCAGTCAGAGTCAAATAGGAGCTCATGCTAGCAATACTCAAGCAATTTTTATTTCAAGGAGCTGACCGTGGCTTTGAGACTAGAGAGGCTGCACTTCCCTTGTTGCTACCTCTGCTCAAAGATGTATTGGAAGCAGTCCTAATCCATTTTCTTTTAAATTAGTATTTTAAAGTACAGGAACAGCCAAAGAGTATGATTTTTAAGAAGACAACACTCAAATGATGTCATGTTTACAGCACAATTAAAAGTAAAGCTTAATCATTTAGACATATTTTAAATCCATCAGACAAGGAGGCATAAACATTGTTTTCTGCAAGTTGAACCTAGGTGTGCACTAGCTATATAAGGAAATGAGAAGCATCCTACTTGTACCACTGAAAGAAGTTGTAAACAATATCTTGAAGAATAGGGAAATACCGGAAACTTGGAAAGAAGCCTTTATTACACTTATCCCAAAACAAAAATCGGACTTAACGCAAGTTAAAAATTATAGGCCTATTTCGCTGTTGAACACTGATTACAAAATCTTTGCAAGTGTATTAGCAAAGAGAATGAAAAAAGTACTGCAAGACTTTATACATAAGGATCAGGCGGGTTTCCTTCCTGGCAGACAGATGAAAGATAATATAAGAAATATAATAGAATATCTGAATGCCAGGAATGAGAAACAAGCCATGCTAATCTTTGTGGATGCGGAAAAGGCCTTTGACAATATATCATGGAACTTTATGCTAAAAAATCTGGAACATATGGACGTAGGTACGGATTTTTTTAATGGAATAAAGGCAATATATACAGAGCAAAAAGCAAAGTTGATAGTAAACAATTATACAACGGAAGACATTAAAATAACAAAGGGTACAAGACAAGAATGCCCATTATCACCATTATTATTCATCTTGGTGCTGGAGGTTTTGCTAAAATCAATAAGAAAAAATGAAGAAATAAAAGGGTGTCTGTAGGGAAAAATGTGTATAAAGTCAAAGCATTTGTGGATGATCTTGTAATGATGGTAGAAGAGCCAGCGGGAAGTGTTAAAAGAATCCTAGAAGAAATAGAACAATTTGGTCAAGTTGCAGGTTTTTATTTAAACAAGAGAAAGACCAAAATTATTGCGAAAAATATGGACCAAGAATTAATAGAGGAAATGCAACAAAGTACAGGGCTGGAAGTAGTGAACAAAGTGAAATATTTAGGAGTATGGTTAACCCCCAAGAATATCGATTTGTTTCAAAATAACTATGTACCTGTTTGGAATGGGATAAAAAGGGATCTGGAGGTGTGGGGAAGATTGAAGCTATCTTTTGGGGGAAGGATATCTACGATAAAGATGAGTGTGCTGCCAAGGATGTTATTTCTATTCCAATCACTACCAATAATTAAAGGGGCATCAATTTTCAAAGAATGGCAAAAATAGTTTCAAGATACATCTGGCAGGGCAAGAAGCCAAGGATTCAGTTTAAGTTATTAACAGATGCGAGAGAAAGAGGTGGCTTCGCCCTGCCAGACTTGAAACTATATTATGAAGCATCATGCCACTGTTGGTTAAAGGAATGGATTAAATTAGTGAATGGAGAGTTGTTAGATTTAGAAGGATTTGATAATAGATTCGGGTGGCATGCATATCTGTGGTATGAAAAGAAAAAAAATCATAAAGGCTTGGAAAACCACATCTTCCGAAGATCATTGATAGAGGTGTGGGAGAGGTATAAAAATTTGTTGGAACCAAGACTCCCCATTGGCTTTCACCATTGGAAGTGATGAGTGTGAAAAAGATAAACATGAGGGGGAGGTGGATAACTTATGGAGAATTGATAGTAAGAGAGGGGGGGAAATGGAAAATGAAGACTTATGAAGAGGTGAAAGAATTTGTTTATGATTGGTTGCACTACTACCAGATTAGTGAAATGTTTAAAAAAGACTGTAAAATTTGTGGATATGAAGGAAAAGAATCAAATTTCAAATAGAGGTATTGAATAATGAGTATAAAAAATTGTCTAAAATGTATAGAATGTTGTTGGAATGGCATACAAAAGATGAAGAGGTGAAATCAGTAATGATACATTGGGCCAGAGATTTTGGTTATAATATACAATATGATGATTGGACGAAATTATGGAATGAAAGGTTAAAATTTACGGTGTGTACCGCGTTGAAGGAAAATGTAATGAAAATGGTATATAGATGGTACATAACGCCAGTTAAATTAGCTAAAATGTATAAAACATGTAACAAGTGTTGGAAATGTAAAGAAAAAGAAGGAACTTTCTATCATATGTGGTGGGAATGCAAAAAGGTGAAAGGCTTCTGGGAAACGATATATAAGGAATTGAAAAAGATGTTGAGATATACATTTGTTAGAAAACCAGAAGCCTTCTTACTAGGATTGGTAGGTAATGAAATTAATAGAAAAGATTGTAAACTTTTCCAATACGCTGTAACAGCTGCAAGAATACTTCTGGCGCAAAGATGGAAGCAGGAAGAAATTCCAACTGTGGAAGAATGGAGAATGAAACTGACTGAATATGCGGAATTGGATAAATAGACTGGGAAGATTCGATATCAGAAAAACCAAAAGTTTATCGAGGACTGGGGAAATTTACAGATTATCTGAAAAGCATATGTGATGCACAGACAACGCTTGTTGGTTTTGAAGAGTCTCTGTGAAAAATTAAGAAATATTGTAAAAAAGAAAGTAGGAGAAAGGAAGAGGAATGGTTAAAGGCAATAATAAGTTCAGAAATGCGTTAACAATAGAAATTTTAATGAAGGATTGGCAGAGAAACTGAGGGAAGTAAAAAATTGATGAATGTGTGAAAGCTTTGCTGATGACTTAGTCTTGACATTACAGGAGCCAGAATCTAGTACAAAAAGAGTATTGCAATTAATCCAAGAATTCGGTCAAGTAGCAGGTTTTAAATTGAATAAGATGAAAACTAAGGTATTAGAGAAAAATCTTACAGAGATTGAGAAAGAGAGGTTTCAGAAGGAGACAGGATTAACAATAGTTAACAAAGTGAAATATTTAGGGGTGCATATGACTGCTAAAAATGTGAACTTGTTTAAAGATAATTATGAAAAATGTTGGTCAGAGGTAAAGAAGGATTTAGAAATATGGTCAAAATTGAAGTTATCATTGTCGGACCGAATTGCTGCGATAAAGATGAATGTATTGCCTAGAATGTTGTTTTTGTTTCAAACATTGCAAATTGTGGATAAAATGGACTGTTTCAAGAGGTGGCAAAGAGATATTTCCAAATTTATCTGGCAGGGCAAAAAGCCTAGAATAAAATTTAAGATATTAACAGATGTGAAGGAAAGAGGGGGATTTGCCCTGCCAGATCTTAAACTTTATTATGAATCAGCCGCATTTTGCTGGCTGAAAGATTGGCTACTTCTTGAAAATGCGGACATTCTAGATCTAGAAGGTTTTGATAATGTGTTTGGATGGCATGCATATTTATGGCATGACAAGGTTAAAGCGCATAAGGCCTTTAAGAACCATATTGTCAGGAAAGCATTGCTTAATGTTTGGGTGAGATATAAGGATTTGTTGGAAAGTAAAACACCAAGGTGGCTGTCACCAATGGAGGCTAAGGCATTGAAAAAAACTAATATGGAGACAAATTGGCCAAAATACTGTGAAATTTTAGAACAAGTTGGAGATAAATTAAAACTGCAGAGTTTTGACAAATTAAAAACTAAAGTTCGAGACTGGCTTCATTATTATCAAATAAGGGAGGCTTTTAACCTAGATAAAAGATTGGTTTCCAGGAGGAAAAATCTAAACTGGAAACGGAATTGTTAGAGCCTAAAATTAAGAACTTGTCAAGAATGTATAACCTGCTGCTGAAATGGAATACACAGGATGAAACGGTTAAATCAGCTATGATTAAATGGGCACAAGATGCTGGGCATAATATTATGTTTGCTGACTGGGAACGGTTATGGACCAC